TTTTTTTTTTTTTAATTCATTCGAGACACAGAGATACAGAGAGAGAACACAAGCAGGGGGAGAAGCAGGCCCAGGGCGGAGCGGAGAGCCCGATGCTGGGCTCGATCCCAGGACCCTGGGATCGCGACCCGAGCTGAAGGCAGACGCTTAACGACTGAGCCACCCAGACGCCCCACTAAGAATTCTTTTATAAATCCTTCCAGATACAAAGTTTCATGTTTCCAAATTTTAGAAAATATATGTATTTAACTTGAAAGCAGAATTGGATTTATAACCCCCCACATTGTTGGGAATGTAAAATGGTACAGCACTGTGTACAGTAGTTTGGCAGTTCCTCAAAAAGTTAAGCACAGAATTACCATATGACCCAACAAATCACTCCTAGGTTATCTACCCAAGAGAACTGAAAATAGATGTCCACACAGAAACTTGTACATGGATGTTCATAGAGGCAGTTTTCATAACAGCTGAGAAGTAGAAACAACCCAAATGTCCACAAACTGATGAATGGATAATATCCATACCATGGAATATTATTCAGCCAAAAAAGGAATGCAGTACTGACACATGTCATAACATGGATGAACCTTAAAAAAATTATGCTAAGTGAAAGAGGCCAGACACAAAAGCCCACAAATTCTATATTATTCCATTTATTTACAATGTCCATAAAAACAGCGAGTAGATCAGTAGCAAGAATGACTGCTAATGGGCACATCAGGGAGTGTATCTGGGATAGTATTGGCATGATAAAACATTCTGAAAGTAGTGGTGAAAGTTGCACAACTCTATGAATACACTAAAAATCAGTGCACTGTACACTCGAAAAGTATGAATTTTTTCATTTGTGACATATCTCTTTTAAAAATGGGGTTTATACCACCTTCTATGTTCCTATGGTACAGTAAAGAATTTGGGGTGTTCATATTGCATCACATCTCACACAGAAAGGATACCCCTTTTTATGAACTATCAACAGTCCCCGGAGACCCCAATCAAAATACTACTTATTTTTTGTGGTAAATATAATTTTTTACTGTGGTAAAAAATATATATATAATGATATGTACATAACAAAATGTACAAAATGTATTTTAAGTGTGCAGTTTGGTAAATATAATTTTAATATGTGCATGTATCTTGATGTCTTCCCATTTAAAATGTACATCTGTTACTATAAATAAAAATGTAGCTATAGAAGCTGCCTAATTTTCTGAGATGTGATCCAAATTTTTCTGCAGATTCACTTCATGTAATTATAAATTAAGATATATCCTAAGAAATTTATTCTGGCAAAATGACGTTTTCAGATTTTTTTAATCATATTTATAAACCTAATGACTTTATATGTCCTTTTTCTCTATTTTAATTAAATATTTATTTTGTAAACTTTTTTAAAAATTAAAATATAAACTTTTGGTAGCCTCTACCCTGTCAGGCAGCTTGTTTGTTGTTTTAAACATATTTTAAAGGGATGGCTTTTTTTTTTTTAAGATTTTATTTATTTAACACAGAGAGAGAGAGAGAGAAGGCAGGAACACAAGCAGAGGCAGTGGGAGAGGGAAAGGCAGGCTTCCCACCTAGCAGGGAGCCCAATGCGGGACTCGATCCCAGGACCCTGGGATCATGACCTGAGCCGAAAGCAGACGCTTAACAACTGAGCCACCCAGGCGCCCAAAGGGATGGCTTTTAAGAATGAGTTTCCTATACAACAAAGTGAAACCTTATGCAAAAATGAATGGTAGGGAATGAACTGAAGTGGGAAGAACAATACACTCTAACTGTGCCAAAAGTTACCTTCAGCACAAAGTCTGTCCCACTCAGAGGCTGGAGTCATTTTGAGGAACATGTGTCTTCCCCAAGACAAAGGTTCTAGTTCACAGAGCAATAACAGCCATCTGAATCATATCTATTTTCCATGACAGGAGAGAAGCTGATTTTTTATAAGACTGAGCTTTTTATTTAATGCATAGGGATCCTATACATAAGAGTCTACATTGAAATATAAATTTGTAACCAGTACAAACTTTAAAAATTAGCCATTAGTAGCATCCTCTAAATTAGCATCATTAAATTCAAATAGAACTTTTCTAAGAATATGTTCGTAGTACAGCACTTCTCAAAGATAATTCCAAGGGAACACTGATTTCTTGGGATATTAATAGTGATTACACCAAAAAGGATTTCATGGTTATAAATTGAAGAAACTTCCATTTGTCCAGATTTTACATGTGTCTTTTACACAAGGTTTTCCAGAGTCTACCACTCCAGGGTGTTCTGCTAAGCCACAGATACGCTGCACACCGCAACCCTAACTGACCACAGAACCCTGTCGCCGTGGTGTTTATGGGACTCCACACAACAGAAACGTGTGTTGAGTACTTATTCTACGCATAGAAACCCTCGTAGATGCTGTACATGCATTATTTATTTCACTCCTAGCAGTAACAGCAGTTACATACTGATCTCTCCCAGTTTTAGAGAAGAGGAGACAGAAGGGTCAGGAATTAAGCAACTTTCTTAAGGTGTCATAGTACATAACTGGCAGAGCTAGAGCAAGACACAGGTCTGACTCCAAGGCCCATGCTGCACCCACTCCCTCTTAAACAAGGGGCTTGAGTAACATCTTAGCTTTGTCTTAGAAATGTAGTCAGGTCTAAGGTGAGAAACAGGTTATTTATTGGTGTAGAAAATTGCTGTTTGCGCTTGAACATTGCGTTTCTCAGACTTACAAATAGAAAATGAGCATATCAAAGGTGCTAGGTCTGGGGTGCCTAGGTGGCTCAGTCGTTAAGTGTCTGCCTTCGGCTCGGGTCATGATCCCAGGGTCCTGGGATCTAGCCCCACGTCCGGGCTCCCTGCTCAGCGGGAAGCCTGCTTCTCCCTCTCCCACTCCCCCTGCTTGTGTTCCCTCTCTTGCTGTGTCTTTCTGTTGGATAAATAAATAAATTCTTTTTTAAAAAAAGGTGCTAGGTCTGATTTCTGCAATGAAGTATGTAGGCACTTGTGATAGTGGGTGTCAGTTATTCATTCACCAAACCAAGTCTTTTTGATCACTTTGTATGAACTGGGCACTCCTCTGCAGCAGTGGAAATGTAACTGGGACAAATCCATGCCCATCCCCTGGGGAGCTCACATCAAACAGTGGGAGGATGGAGGAGGAACGAGTCAGGAGGCATGCTCAGTGAAAAGAAAGGAGCCAAGCCGGGAACAGGAAGCCCTGGGCACATGGCAGACAGGGAGCAAGTGGACAGTCCGTGTGCTGTTCTCCCTCTTCCTCCCCCTCACCCAGAGGCACAGTGGACACACCCAGTTCCTTAGACTTGGGGAAGGGCAGTGAGAGGGCAAATGAGCTCACCTCCAAACCTTCCCTGACAGCCTTTCCTGACCTTAGTTGGCCCTGGGTCACCCAGCCCTGTCCATCACTCACACAAATAGCTGCAGCAGTGTACTTCTCAGAAATAATCAAGAGGGGAACGCCTGGGTGGCTCAGTCAGTTAAGCGTCTGCCTTCAGCTCGGGTCATGATCCCAGGGTCCTGGGATCGAGCCCCACGTCGGGCTGCCTGTTCAGCAGGGGAGTCTGCTTCTCCCTCTGCCTGCCACTTCCCCTGCTTGTGCTCTCTCTGTGTGTCTCTCTCTGTCAAATAAATAAATAAAATCTTTAAACACAAAAACAAACAAACAAAAAAAACTAGAGGAAGAGAGTGAATTTTCACTAGGCACTCCTTTTTTAATTCCCTGCCTTTGCTTATTTTTTGTGCTTGATTTTGACCCAGAACCTGAAAATTCACAGGAATGATATTGAGCTGGGTATTTGTCACAGGCCACACTCTCCGTGGGCTTTTTCTATTGTAAGTGGTGTAAGAAACCAAAAGGAGGTGGAGAAGTGCTTGAGTCTTGTTCTAGTACATGATTTTCAGATTCTGATTTGTTCACTTTAGTTAACTGCTAGATCCTAAGCACCTAAAACAGTACTTGCTATTAAACACTGAAAGAAATAATAATATGTCACATTAATTATTAAGGACACAAGCTTTTTAAAAAGTAAACAACATATTATATATTAATATTGTTGAAACTTAGAGCAAAATCTAAGAAGCCTTTGTGAGCTATGCATGTAGGTGTGCATACACACACTCATACCTACAGCAACTAAAACAGGATTTTCTCATTGTGGTATAAAATGTACATAACACGAAATTTTCCACCTTAACCATTTTTAGTGGCATTGAGTGCATTCACACTATTGTATATCCGTCACTCTCATCCATCTCTAGAATGTTTCCATCTTCCCAAACTAAAACTCCAAACCATTAAACATTAACTGCCCATTTCGCATTCCCTCAGCCCCTAGCAACCACCATTCTACTTTCTGTCCCTGTGAATTTGACTGCCCTAGGAACTTCATGAGGTGAATCAAAATATTTGTCCTTTTGTGTCTGGCTATATTCTTTACTTTAGATAATTTGATAAATAGATAATTTTCTTCTTATGTGAGTAACACATACCTGTTTTGGAAAAAGGAAACACATAAAAGCCCGATGAAGAAAGTGAATATCACTTCTAAGCTCTACTCAGATACCGACTAAAATCATTTTTATATCTTTCAGTCTCCTTTTCCTTTGGCTTATTACATGTGGGTGCATGCATAGATATACACGTAAAGACATTATAATTTGTTGCCTGCTTTTCACTTAGCAAGGTATCAAACATTTTTCCATGTCTTTAAATATTTTCTGTGTAACCATTTCAGTGGCTGTATAATACTTCATTGGGAGATGGATCATAATTTAATGAACAATATCCTTCCTGTTTTTGTGCAGTTTCAAAGGCCTGTTGGTCTGTGTGACACTGTCTTCCCCATCTGAATCACCACTCATCCTGAATGGTGTCTCCTTGGCATTAGGGCTGGTGTCTGTTAGGCAAAACTGCATATGACCAGATCATAAAGAGGCACTTAAGTGATGAATACTATGGACAACATCCTTTCTTTTTCCAGGACAGCAGGGCTTTTCAGTTTGATCGATACCATGTGGCCTCCAGTGATGCCTCTGAAAGCACCCGGCCATGGCCGAGCCTGTGAAGAGGTAAGACACCATCGGAAGAGCTTCCCCTGCTCTGCCCACTGCTGAGCCAGGCCCCACTCATAGTCCACATCCCTGAAAAGGGGAGGTCCAGGGACTGAGAGCCAGGAGGACAGAGATTCAGTCTTGCTCACCTCACTCCAAAGTCCAAACTCTGGCTGCTTTCTCTGCCTATGCCATTCCATTCTTCTTGCGGTTAATTTACAGCGATGTTTTTAAGCCACAGCCATTGCATGCCATTGCAATAATTAGGGTCTTAGCCTCGTCCTAATTAAGACACAGGATGTTTTCCCCACCACCTCCCAATCACTATTAGAACCAACACTCAGTTACCAATTAGAGCACAAACTCACATAACCTAATAAATAAACTCCGTGGATATTCTTTCAACCACCAGGTGAGCCAGGGATTTCCATTTTCCTGCTGCATCAAATTGTTTATGGTAGTTGCTCACATGTAGCAAAACCGATCAAAATGTGTCCCTTCTTCCTCATCCTGAGTTTTATCCAGCAGACTGACTAGCAGCTACTTTGGGCCATAGCTCCCAAAGCTAAAAACGGGGAGCTGTCTTGTTTGTGTGGTAGCTGACTTCCTAGCAGACTGCTAAAACTATGACTCTGTACAGTACTGGACCAGGAAAATAGTTGTCAAAAATGCCCAATTCCAACTCTGAGAAACAAACTGAGGGTTTTAGGGGGTGCGGGGGGATGGGTGAGCCCAGTGATGGGTATTAAAGAGGGCACGTACTGCATGGAGCACTGGGTGTTATACGAAAACAATGAATTGTGGATCACTACATCAAAAACTAATGATGTAATATATGGTGACTAACATAACATAATAAAATTAAATTAAAAAAATAAAATAAAATAAAAATGCCCAATTATAGATTATTTAAGAGGGAAAAGTTTCTAAATGGTTTTTTCAAGAATACTCTGAAGAATGAATTTTTTAAATGAAGTCTTGAATCCATGGTAAATTCAAAAAGTATCAAAGTTCTTATGCTTGGTCGTAGAGATAAACAACATAATCTATTTCTCATACGACTTTCCACAGAAATAGAATGCATCTGTGAATAAATACCTATATATTAAAGAGTAGATTTTAATAGTGTATTTGAATCTTTTACTAGCATATTTACATTCTACCTTTGCCTTCGTTTTAAACAGGTAAAAATTCATGTGCCTCCTCCTAGCTTCTGTTACATCCTCACTGCTCATCCAAATGTGGGACAAATTGAAATAATTGAAGAAGACCCCATTTCTAAGCTTTACCAGCCTCCAGTTCCCTGCTTATTAAGAGAAATTGTCCAGGTAATATCTGTGTTTCCAACAGGGTCTTTAATTATTTTTACTGTATATGTGTGCTCTGTGGGGTGTTCTAATCATTTTCAATGCCTTTCCAGACTAATGATCTTAGTACCCGTTGCAGTTTCTATGCCAGAGTGATTTATCAAAGACCACAGGTAATTAATCCCTCTTCCTTTCTCTTTCTGATAAGGTGCTATAAAGTTTATTAAAGGATAACCTCCCATAGAAATTAATGGGGTGCTAAATAGAAAAGCATTTTAAAAATCCATTTATGCATGATCCATGCTGAGGCAATTAATCCATTCCTTGTGCAGGTGCAGCCTGCCAGCCACTGTGGTAAGTACTGTGTATGAAACAAACTAGGCATAGCTCACCTGAAAGTTTCTCAGCCCAGCACTGTGAGTTCCTCTCTGGCACACAGATTGTAGAAAGGAAAGAAAGGAGAGGGAGGAAGGAATCTCAGGATTGAGCTTAGCCCCTGTCAGAACTGTCCAACAACTCTGAGCCATCAATAGGGGAAGGAAGCCCTGCAGCCTCTGGGAGGCCTCAGCAGTGCTGGGGAGCTGCAGCCTAGAGGAGCTGCTAGTTTGCTGCCTTCCCACTCAACAGATCAGCAAGAAGCAGACGAGAGAAAGGGATGTTTTTGGCAAGCTGAACATTTGGTATAAGTTCTGCAAGAAAGAAACCTCTGGTTGACCTTAACTCAGAGAGGAACGTCCATGCAAATCTCTCACCTGAGGTATACAAAACAACCCATTGTTCAATCCTTGTTTTCCTTTTCTCTGTTCACCTTTCAGTGAATTGGTGCATCTCCTGAGGAATAAGAGAGTGATTGACATTAGTCAGTCACAGTGCTTCCTGTGAGCCATCCCAGAATGTGGCTCAACAGGCGCAGGGACAGGCCCATAGTGAAGAGGAGGTTCCAGGCACCTGAGGTGTCTCTTACCTTCCAACCCTGAAGCAAACTGAAGGCTGACTGCAAACTCCCTCCCACCCCCACCGTCTGCAGAACGCTCAGTATGTTAAGACATGCTTGGCATCTGGCACACTCCTATTATTCTAACACACATTCCAGGTTGTAGGGCTGTGACATCAGGCAGTGGTTCACTGTGCAGCCGCCATTTACTCTGCAGATAGAATACTGTCCTCACGGGCAATATACCACGTGTTCCTGCCCACAGAGCCTCGCCTGCTCAAAGCCCCAGCTGACAGCAGAGGTGGAAAGTAAAAAACAGGTGTCAGATACAGCACTGCTAGTCTTGACAATAGCCCCAGTGGAGGGGAGCCCCAGGACAAACACAAACTGCAGATCATCTGCCTCACTGGATGAAGGAACCCTGCCTTGTGGCTGGTTGAAAACACTGATACCCTCCTGTCCCAAGTTTTCTGCCAAGAAATATGCTTCCACTAACATAGGTGCAGCCTGCAGCAAGTATGGGTTTCACTGGGTGTATGTACCAAAGAATTGGTGGTACTTAGGAAGTATAGGGGCTTGGAACCCAATGGAACAGATTCCTCAGTGCACTAAAATTTTCTACCTCCTGTATTCTGTTTTTGTGGGACAGAGAATCACCAGAAACCAACTTCCTTAGGGAGAAATTGAAATAAGCTAAGTCCCAGGGCCACTGTGTGGTCAAGTCAATCACCTATACACTCTACAGTAACAGTTGACTTTAAGAATGGCACAATGAGTCACTGCAAGAACCTGAGTCATCAAAGAAGATTCCGTTGTATTTCCATTATACAAATGGCTAATCATGCAAGTGAAAGACATATTTTTTGTATTTAACTTTTTTTATTTTTTTAAGTTATATTTTATTTTATTAGGTTATGTTAGTCACCATACAGTACATCATTAGTTTTTGATGTAGTTTTAAAGATTTTTAAGTAATCTCTACACCCAGCCTGGGGCTCAAACTTACAACCCCGAGATGAAGAGTTACATGCTCTCTACTAACTGGGCCAGCCAGGCACCCCCTTAACTTTTATTTTGAATAAAATTATTCTAACTTTTTAGATTCATAGTAATTATAGATTCACAATAGACTTCAAAGAAATATATAGTGTACTCCCTCTCCCATACTAACACCCCATGCCCACAATAGCCACCATACAACACCCACACCAAGAAACTGACATCAGCACTGATCTGGTGTCATCATTATAATTATGTTATTTCGTGATTGTTACACAAATGAAACCATGCAGTATATATCAGTGTTGTTTCCTAGGCCAGCTGCACAAAGTACCAAAAACTAGATTGCTTAAAACAACAGAAATTTATCATTTCACTCTTGTGGGGGCTAGAAGTCTGAAATCAAGGTGTCAGCAGGGCCATGCTCTCTATGACAGCTCTGGGGAAAATCCTCCCTTGCCTCTTCCAGCTTCTAGTGTTTGACAGCAATCCTTGGCCTTCCTTGGCTTTATATATACATCACCCCAGGCACATGGCCATCTTCACCCTCTGTGTCTTCATGTGGTCTTACCTCTGTAGATCAGTGTCCAAATTTCCTTTTTTATAAGGACACCAGTCAGATTGGATGAGGGCCTGCTGTCATGGTTTCATCTTGACTTGATTAAATTTGTAAAGACCTTACTTCCAAATTAGGTCACATTCTGAGGTACTAGAGTTAGGACTTCAATTGATCTTTTTGGAGGGACACAATTTGACCTGTAACAGCTCCTTTGGGAGCTATTTGGTTGTTGTTGTTGTTGTTGTTGTTGTCTCTAGAGATTCATCCAGAGAACTAATGATGTTGAAAATCCTTTCATATGTTTATTTGCCATCTGTATAACTTCTTTGGTGAAAGGTCTATACATGTCTTTTGCCCATTTTCTGTGTGGATTATTTTTTTGTTTACTGCTGAATTTGGAAGTTCTTTATATATTCTATATACAAAGCCTCTGTCAGATATATGATTTGCAAATATTTTTCAGGGTCTGTAATTTGTCTTTTCATCCTTTCAACAGGGGTTTTGCAGAGCAGAGTTTTTCATTTTTATGCAGTCAAATTTATTAACTTTCCCTCTTATAGATCATGTTTTTGTCATAAAGGCAAGTCAAGCCTTTTTGCCTAGTTTTAGGTCCCAAAGTTTATCTTTTATGTTCTTTTCTGGAAGATTTATAATTTTACATTTGAGTCCATGCTGCATTTTGAGTTGATTTTTTTAATAAAGTATGTAGTTTAGGTCAAGGTTCCCTTTTTTTGCCTGTGGATGTCCAGTTGTTCCAGCATTATTTGTTGATAGGCCGTCCTTCCTCTGTTGAATTGCTTTTGCAACTTTGTCAAAATTAATTGGGCATTTTTGTGTGGAACAGATCTATTTTTAATAAAATTTTAACAATTAGATTGGTAGCACTGCTTTGAATTAATTGGTTATTTGTGTCTTTTTACAGAGGATACCCCAATGGTAAAGATAATTTGATAGTTAATTTAAAAGGAAGTTAGACCATTTTGGCTCATCAAGAGATTGAAAAAGAGATAGTAAGGGGCACCTGGGTGGCTCAGTCATTAAGCGTCTGCCTTCGGCTCAGGTCGTGATCCCAGGGTCCTGGGATCGAGCCCCACATCGGGCTCCCTGCTCAATGGGAAGCCTGTTTCTCCCTCCCCCACTCCCCCTTGTGTTCCCTCTCTCACTGTCTCTCTCTCTCTCTCTGTCAAATAAATAAAATCTTAAAAAAAAAAGAAAAAGAGATAGTAAGCCAAATCCAGGGTATTTACAAAGAGTATCTAAAATCTTTGAAGATTGTCAGAAAAACTCCCAACTGCAGATAATCTTGTAGAAATCTTTGCCCTTCCTGAGATATCTACCATTTTTTAAAATGTGATTTTGCTAGTTGTTCCCCCCAAATCATTTATAACGTCACAGTCCAATACAGTATCATGCACTGCACTTAGTTGTCATGTCTCTTTCTTCTTCAAATTGAATATTTCTGCATCTTTGCTTATCTTTTATGACCTTGGCAGTTTTTAAGAATAGAGATCAGTAATTAATAGAATATCTCTCCATTTAGACTGGCCTGATGTTATCTCATGCATAGATTCAAGTTACGCATCTTTGTCAGGAATACCACATAAAAATACTGTCTTCATATCAGGAGGCACACAGTTGATTTGTCCCAGTGCTGTGGTATTTTATCAATTGATTTAAGATGGTGTTTTCTAAGATGCTCAACATCACTCATCGTTAGGGAAATACAAATCAAAACTATAATGAGGTACCACCTCACACCTGTCAGAATGGCTAAAATTAACAATACAGGAAACCACAGGTGTTGGCAAGGATGCAGAAAAAGGGGAACCCTCTTACACTGTTGATGGGAATGCAAACTGGTCCAGCCACAATGGAAAACAGTATGGAGGTTCCTCAAAAAGTTAAAAATAGAACTACGCTATGATCCAGCAATTGCACTACTAGGTATTTATCCAAAGGATACAAAAATACAGATTTGAAGGGGTACATGCCCCCCGATGTTTATACAGCTATCAACAATAGCCAAATTATGGAAAGAGCCCATGTGTCCATCGACTGATGAATGGCTAAAGATGTGGTCTGTATATACAAATGAATATTACTCAGCCATCAAAAAATATAGTATCTTGCCATTGCAACAATGTGGATGGAGGGAGCTAGAAGGTATTATGCTAAGTGAAATAAGTTTGTCAGAGACAGACAAATAATCATATGATTTAACTCATATGTGAAATTTAAGAAACCAAACAAGCAAAGGGGGAAAAAAAGAGAGAGGCAAACTAGAAGAGACTTTTTTTTTTTTATTAAAGCATGGGGACCGGACCCATGGTAGAAAGAGCTGCCTAGAAAACAGACTCTTAACTATAAGAAAGAACTGAGAGTTGCTGGAGAGAAGGTGGGTGGGGGGATGCGCTAAATGGGTGATGGGTATTAAGGAGAACACTTACAGTGAACACTGGGTATTGTATGTAAATGATGAATCACTAAATTGTACACCTGAAACTAATATTACACTATATGTTAACTAACTGGAATTTAAATAAGAACTTGAAGGGGGAAAAAAAGGTGGTGTTTTCTAGGCTTCACCACTCTAAAGTTAAGTAATAAGTATCTCCTACTTACAAATTAATAACTATGTAATAAATATTTTATAGGAAGATGCATTGAGACTATCTTGCCTG